AATCTTGAAAGAAAAAATAGTTTACACATCAAATAAACAGGCTTAACGTTGTTGTTTTATATACTGATTTGAAAGTAAATCAAGTGAGTAAACCTCTGATCCATTGTTAATAGCTTAGTTGATAAATGATAGGATTTGACGTTACTCCAAACAAGTAACCTCCCCTAGAACCAACCATTGTTTTTTCTATATTGTTTACTCCTTAAAACGTAAAACACACGTGTTACGTTTATGAAGTCTTGGTCCTTTTTAAAAATTCAATAAAAATAAGAGAAAAATATAAAATTATCTTCTCTACGATGAGTATCCACTATCGACCATACAAAATAAATTTAAAAAATCACTAAAATAATTTTATTTTACAAAGTCATCGACTATAAATAAAAAAAAAAACTCTCAAACCAGGTCCATTATCTCTCATCATCATCACTCATAACCAATCTCTAATCCCTAAATTTCAAGATCATGGCGAGCGCACGACTTGCAAGATTCATAACGGAAGTTGCGCCACCGCAATTTGTCACGGTGATGCGGAGAAGAACGGCGAAGGTACTCGACACGATCAAGGAGGAAGAAAGAGATGTTGGCACTGACTCTATATTTTCATCTTCTTTAAATTCGAAGAACATCTCTTCACCGTTTACTTCTACTTATCCCTCCTCTGTCTCTTCTACTTCATGCACTTCTGGTCTAAACAAATTCCCGGTTATAGAGAACCGGGGCTCTTTTCCGGTTTTCAAGAACTGAACTAATTTTCAGATGTAATTTTATATATGTGTATATATCATATGCATGCAATTGTTTTGTGTATTTGATTACGTTGTAATCAGAAGTGTGTGTGTGTAGAGTTTGATTTCCCGGTGAGCTCCGGCGTTTCTTATGATCGGAGTTTTTTTTCTTTCTTTAATTATTGGGTTTATCAAACCGGATCAGCATAGACGGAGTCGGGTTGACCGAGTATCAATATGTGGAAGTGACTTGGTTCGACGTCATTTTCAGTGTATTGTTTAATAAAATGTGCCCAAAATCAATATAGTTTAGTATATTGTCATTATCTTAATTTACTTCTATACTCAAAAGTCAAGAAGATTTTTCTACAAGAATGAGAACACAATGAACACATTACCAATTAATAATGTCTTATTATATGTTAATAGCTTTGGATTAAAGAAGTTTGGCTTGTTAATTATTGGTTCAATCTTGAACTATTGGAGGATTAAAAATGTGTTATTCATGTCATACAAATAAATTAAAGGATCAAATTGACTGTTACATATTTAGTATATGGCCGACGCTTTCTCCACCTAGAAGTTGCAAGTGACATGTGGCAACACATTAGACGTCGGTACTGCATCTAACAGTTATTTAAAGTGCTTGATTAATATATTCGTTTCACCTAAATTTTGTAATATAGTATAATTACTTTAAAGATAATTTTCCTAAGTCAAACGTTCCTACATAACGTGGCGATTTCATAGATCTTCTTCGTTGCCCCTCGTGACTTTGTGTTCATATTATAAGAAAATGATAAAGTCGATATACTTTGGATTGAATGTTAAAAAGTCTAACTAGTTGGTCTAATAAATTATATTTGTAACAAGAGTAAGATTTAAACTATAAACCAAATTGATGATTGTCTAATGGTAAATAGAGTTAATTCCCAAGATCATTAATTAGTTCAATTCTACTTTGAAATAGTGATTAACGTTTTAAACATAATATTATCATCCCAAATACCGGGAGAGATCAGTATATGTTCTCACTGAAAAATATGTTTTGATCACAAGAGAAACACGTCTATTGTGTCTATTTGTTTCGATGTTTGTCATCATCTCTTTCAATCCTTCTTATTTTGCGCGGTTCCCGCGGAAATTGAATCAAGAACAACACTTTATCATCTGGATATAATTGGTCTGATTGCTTGAGAACATTGATACCACTTTGTCAGAAAAAGGGTGGAAATATGTGTACTCTTTAGCGAGGTCTAATTTTTTTTGGGGGAAATTTGGTGTGAAGGGTCGAATGTTCCCAGTGAGTGTACACCTATCCACCTTAACCTTGTGGTAAGCAGACTTTATTTGGGTTAAATGGGATGGAAATGAGCGAGAGTGAAGATTGAAATAGTGGTTTTTGACATGTTAGGCTAGGCATGCAACTTGTTCTCCGACCAAGAAACGGTTGCGGGAATTGGAGAATTTGGCTGGTAGGTTAAAGCAATAGGTTAGAGATGCTCAAGCTAGAAACCGTGCAAGTGATACAAACTTGAGATTTTTTGAATCTTGTCAAAACTACAAGGTATAGTTGTGAGTGAATGAATCTAAACATTTTTTCTATTGTAGGCTCACCCTCGATATAGTTGTCACACTCGAACCCATGACCTTGGGGTTAACTGTTACCGACAGCACCCACTATACCGGTTGAGCCAACGCAATCTCTGACGTAAATACAAACAAATACAGTTATATATTTCATACAGTAACGTAGTACCAATTGAGAATTGACCCACTTTAGCTAAAAGCTATTGTTACAACTCCAAACAGAAAACCCTTCTCTTTGCTTTCTCTCGATCTCCTCTCTGGGACTCTTTGCTTCATCACCTCGTCACTCCCACCACCACCACCACTCATCATCCATTCCTTCGGCCGCTTCTCTAACCCCAACTAGAGTAATTAATTTGAAACCACGAACTGATATATTCTTCTCCCAATCCAATTGATATCAATCTTTATTTTAATTTTCCTTTTCCAAAATCCGGTTGAATCAAATTTGATATAATCAACCAAAGAAATCCCAATTCTTGATTCCAATCCACTGTCCGTGATGAGGAGATAGGAGAAGAGAAAGCATAAACATCAAATTTCAGAGATTGGTATACGAGACAAAACCGAACGGATTGCAATAACACATCGCCGATGCTGGTTTGCTCTGTCTTGGCCTATCTTTCCGACGAGGGTTTGCGGCGGCGTGTGGGTTTCAATGACTAAGAAAATAACAAAGACAAATTAATTTGGAATTGTGTTTATATAAATATATTTAGTTGCATATACGTTAAAAATTGTGGTGGCTCAGTTGGTATTGAGTATTCTAACGCGACCTCTAGGTCATTGGTTCGAGTATGAGCCTGATTAGATCCGATTTTTTTTTTTTGTCTACGTGGCATCCTAGTCACATCCTAGTCATCTTAAGTTAACGGAGCATTAACACCGTTTGGAGAATTGTCGGTTTAAGCCAAATTTGTTTAGTTTGTGTATGAAATTCATATTTTAGTTAAGTTCATGTAGTTATAAGCACGACTCAAAGTTCTGTGTATGAATGCGATAAAGTAACATAGTTCGTGGGGGATTAGGCCGTTTTCCCTATGATTGCAGAGCTATATATAGATGGGTTATAAATTTTAAAGTCAACCCTTTCAAGAAAACGTGGCAAGTTCATGTATCTACATTTGCCCATCAATGATTTGGTTTGTTTCTGTTTAAGGGTTTTCTATCAATGATTTGGTTCTCTAATAGGATGATTCCTTCTTCATGAAAAAAAAAGCAAAAGTTACATTAACCCTTTATTAAAAACAAATAAAATAACAAGTTGGGTTGACAATTAAATAGGTATAACTATTATGTTGATATATATTTTGTAAAACATAGAAACCATGATTACAAAATCCAGATTAGATCAATAACACTATACTTTATAATAGAACATTATTTCTTATAGAAACAAAACACATAATCTAGACAGAAGATTCTAAACATTTGATCGAAATTTATTGTTTAATGGTTTGTATAAGTGCCCCTTTATGAAACATTTAGTATTGAAAAGGGCACGTAGCTCCTTGACACTGGTAACGGCTTTTCCATAACATCAAAAGTTCAATTGGACGTTTCAAAACTAACCAATATATACATTAGATTCGTTTAATAAATCTTATAAGTACAATGTTTGGAATCTCCGAGTATAAAAATATACTTGGATAAATGATGGAAGCTAATTGGATAAGTGGTGGGAGCTTCTTGGTTCAATGTTTTTTTGAAAGCTTAATATTTTTAATTTATTTTTGGATTTCGGATTTCGTTTCTAAGAATTACAAACCATTGTTGATTTATGGATGCAAGACTACAAAAAAAAAAGATTATAGGATTTTTTAAAATATGTTCTAGATATATTTATTTGTCATTGACTAGTTTGTTGAAAATAAAACTAAACATCATAAATATTAGTATGTTGATAATCGTTTACATCTACATAATCAAAAACTACATAATGAATGACCAAAGTTGCGGTTCAATACATGATCTAAGCACCAATAAGGTATGTAAGATGTCATAGTAAGATATACTTGTTTTTGACAAACAATAATACTTCCATATTTTTCAAAACATTATATTTATTTTTGTATAAGAAAAATACACCAAGTTTAAACATAAAACCTCAAATATTTTATCTTTGTCAAAAATCCTCAATAATACTTTTATATTTACATTAAACCAAAAAGAATCTCATATTAATGTTATACCAAATACAAAAAAAAAGTAATATCACTAGAATCTAGATACTAGATAGTTCATATTTTGGTACTATTTGAAAATTGCAGATGAAAAAATCATTAATATATCCATTTATCTTTGTAGATAATATGAATTTCACCTTGTTTTTTTCGAAAATATTATTTTACTTTTCTTGATGATCGCTTGTATTAAATTATCAAAGACTAGATAAGCCTAGAATTATTTAAAATGTAAACTATAGCATACGTCAGAACCCACAGATGTAACCTTCCTCGTATAATCCCTAAACAGAATTTAATTAAAACATTTCCTAATTTAATTTTAAAATATTTATTAACTAATTAAACATTTAAATTCCTTCCACCATCGAATCACAATCTCTCTCTCTCTGTCTGTTACTCGCTTTTTCTCCAGAACCGGCTTCGATTTTTCTAGCAGCCGAAATTTGCGAATTTCCAGAATCTTCACTTCCAAATCGCGATTTGAAATCAATCAATCGTCTTCATGAGTCTTCTTCTTCGTCCAATTTGAATTTTCTCCGCACACGAGAGTTGAATTTTGATTTTCGGCTTCTTTCTTTTTATGGTCTCCGGTCCCTTAGGGTTTATTCTTCTGCAGATCTCACGATGAGCGTTGCGAAATCGCAAATATGGCAGCCATGCAAGAAGAAGAGGTCCTCCTGATTCAATAGAGATCTATCTATATACATATATCTATAAAAGCAAGCGAGAGAGATGTCTTCTCGAACAACACCACGATCGACTCCTTCTCGATCAACGCCTTCTGGTAGTTCTTCTGGTGGTAGGACACGAGTTGGTAAGTATGAGCTTGGAAGAACTTTGGGTGAAGGAACTTTCGCTAAGGTCAAATTCGCTAGAAATGTTGAGAATGGTGATAATGTCGCTATTAAGGTTATTGATAAAGAGAAAGTTTTGAAAAATAAGATGATCGCTCAGGTATTATAAATCTTCTCTTGTTGTGTTCGTTTTTTTGGGAATTGGATTTACGCAGCTGTTATAATTTTGATCCTGTGTTTGATTTTGTGTAGATCAAGCGTGAGATTTCGACTATGAAATTGATCAAGCACCCAAATGTCATTCGTATGTTTGAGGTTTGATTCTCAATTTTGCATGATTCTAACTTGTTCTTGTTCTTCTATAGATTTGTACAATAAGCTGAGATTCGTTTGAAGTTATGGAACATATTTGTGGTCCCTGGCTAATCATATGGAGTATATAATATTAGGGATTGATTATTCTATGTATTCTATTGGTATCTTTGTAGTTACAGATTCTCTTCTTCTTCTTCTTCTTCAGGTGATGGCTAGCAAAACTAAGATCTACTTCGTTTTGGAATTCGTGACTGGTGGGGAGCTTTTCGATAAAATTGTAAGCTTTCATTGAAAGATTTTCTTTTCTTAATACTATGTGGAAATGAGATATTGATTCTTTAAAATTGGTATGTATTAGTCAAGCAATGGGAGATTGAAGGAAGATGAAGCGAGGAAGTACTTCCAACAGCTTATTAATGCGGTTGATTATTGCCATAGCAGAGGAGTTTATCATAGAGACCTTAAGGTTAGGAATCTTACTTTGTCATCTCTTGCATAGGGTTCTTGTGAATGAATTGGCATCAGAATAAAAGTTTGATGTGTTAAAATCATGTTGCACATTCTGGTTGTAGCCAGAAAATTTGCTTTTGGATGCTAATGGTGCTTTGAAAGTGTCTGACTTTGGATTGAGCGCTCTACCTCAGCAAGTTCGAGTGAGCATTGTTATATTGATTTCTTTTTCTATTGTTTCTTTGTAAATATCATAGTTTGATAATTCAGCTACTATGGCCTCTAAGGAGAAAGTTTTCCATGAGTTGTCAAAAGCTGATTTCGTGACTCTTCTTCTTTAGGAGGATGGGCTACTTCACACAACCTGTGGAACACCCAATTATGTTGCTCCGGAGGTATTATATCGACTGCTATTGAAAACTGACATACACTTGTCTTGAAGCTCGAAGTCTATTATTTTCTAGTCTGAGTAACCTTCTATATTTTCTCTCTAGGTAATCAACAACAAAGGTTATGATGGAGCGAAGGCTGATTTGTGGTCTTGTGGAGTAATTCTCTTTGTCTTAATGGCTGGTTATTTACCTTTCGAAGATTCTAACCTGACGTCATTATATAAAAAGGTATTACACTTTGCTCTTCTTCTTTTGCTTTTCTTTTGATACATATTCATTTTGCATGCTATTAGAAAGGCTTCAAGGTTTACATTTCTAGGTGTCACTTGGGTTGGGTGTATAGAAGCCTCTGTCATTTTTGTAGGACACGAGATGTATATAGCATAAAAAGGCACCTGAGTTTTCTCTCTTCATGATTACAGATATTCAAAGCAGAATTTACTTGCCCTCCCTGGTTCTCTGCAAGTGCTAAGAAGTTAATCAAAAGAATTTTGGATCCCAATCCAGCAACGGTATATTTTTCTTACCCTATTATATTAGAGGAGCTCTCCTTTGAAGAGGCAAAAGCTTCTATTGGATTGAGACTTTGAGTAGATCTGAAGGCCTTACACTGATTTTTGATATTTGGCAGAGGATTACATTTGCTGAGGTCATTGAAAATGAGTGGTTTAATAAAGGGTATAAAGCACCTAAATTCGAGAATGCTGATGTCAGCCTTGATGATGTTGATGCAATCTTTGATGACTCAGGGGTAAGGCTAATGTTCTTTTGTTTTTTTTCGGTACTTCGTCCGGGATGATTGCTCAGTTTGTTTTTGTTTGTTAATAGGAGTCTAAGAATCTTGTTGTGGAGAGGCGAGAAGAAGGACTCAAAACACCAGTAACTATGAATGCTTTTGAGCTCATCTCGACATCCCAGGGTCTCAATCTCGGTTCACTTTTCGAAAAACAAATGGTACAGAAGTCTGATACGTAAAGCTGGTCCTTAAATTTCAGTCCCCAAGGCTCTTATTTTGTTGACGATTTTAAACTATCTTTTTGCGGGTTTGGTCAGACCTAAATAGAAGTAGCTTTGCCACAAAATGTTATTGACCAATTCCTTGGAAGCCCGTACTTTTGATAGAAGTCGTCATTCTGATTGATAAGCATCTCTGATTTCAGGGGCTTGTGAAACGAAAAACTCGGTTTACTTCCAAATCTTCAGCTAATGAGATAGTCACAAAAATTGAGGCTGCGGCAGCACCTATGGGGTTTGATGTCAAGACAAATAACTACAAGGTTAGAACACTGTTACATATTTACCCATGCTGTGGAGTTGTATTGGTTTGTTGCTTCTGATTAGACCCTTTAACCATTTCTCAACTCCTTCAGATGAAGCTGACAGGAGAGAAATCAGGCCGCAAGGGTCAGTTGGCAGTTGCCACTGAGGTTAGCTTTCACAATGACCAGTGATCACCCTTTGTATGGTTGGATGAACCCTAATTTAAATTAATTGACATCTACCTTCAGGTTTTTCAAGTTGCTCCATCTCTTTACATGGTTGAAATGCGAAAATCAGGGGGTGACACCTTGGAATTCCACAAGGTACGCAAGGGTTATTAATGCTGATCTGGTTCTATCAAACTCGAGCTTGTGCTTTTGCTTGTCAAATGGTGTTCCAGTGAATCTTTACCTTTTGCCTCCTTTCTTGCTCTTCTTTTAGTTTTACAAGAACCTTACCACGGGACTTAAGGATATTGTTTGGAAAACCATCGACGAAGAGAAAGAGGAAGGAACCGATGGTGGTAAGTATCTGACTTGAATATTCTGTTTGTTAGATAAAGCCTAGAAAGGAGAAACTAACGAAACATGTAAACACAAATCCTGTTTTGTTTCTTCATGTTTCAGGTGGTACTAATGGTGCCATGGCTAACCAGACAATTGCAAAACAGTCGGCATAAACTGTTTACTTTTTTTCTAATATAGATTTTTTTCGTTATAAATTACTATAGTAGTGCGAGTGGTTTTGAAGTTATACAAAGGAAGCGTCAAGAAGTGAAGCAAAGCAAGTTTGAAACTATATTGGGGAATGGGGATTATTGATATTTTAATGTTGTTTGATTCCATGGAATGTTGTGAATAGCATATGCGTGTTGCGAGTATCTTGAATCGATTGACCGGAAAGTAAAAGCTTTTCAAATTTGGTTTTGCCATTTCTACATTATCGGACGGTGAGGTTCGATAAACACTTTTCTGTGAAACCAAATCGAAAATTTAAAATTTCTTGGAAACCCGCTTGCATCGGATTCAGATCCAAAACTTATCTCGTTGCCTCCTCCTGAAACTCTGCTTCATTGCCAAACCCAAATCGTCACCAACGTGGCAATGTCCACGCCTTCTCCAGAGGAAGAGGACTGTGTTGTGGCTGCTAAGTTCTTGGGACCTCAGCTCAGCTTTTGCAGACCGGGTCAAAGTAACTCCGAGTAGATCAACATCAGAGTCGCAAACCCTTGCTTCTTCTCCTCCCAAGTCATGTTTTCCAAGAAACATGACATGTTTCACATACCCGGATCTGGAGGCCACCTCATTTGGTCATTGGATCCCCGCAAACACAAGCAAGCACCCAAGCTTCAAGAGTTGCGATATCAAAACCTTCCCGAGCTGACCAAGACCAAAGGCGACCTTTTGAATTCATGCAGCACGAGCGAACACTTGGTGGAGTCACAAACCCACGGGTGAAACTTTCTTGCTTAAGGTGTACAAGAAGACCGCCAAGATTATTGTCGGTAGTGCCAAAATGAAAACATAAGCTTTAATGGTGTTCAAGCTTGACAAACAAGGAAATGCGGTTTACACTAATAACATCGGCGATCTCTCCATTTGCCTCTCAAAGGCTGAACCTTTCTGTGTCCCTGCTACTCTGCTAGCTCCTTTCCCGGCATGATCTCTAACAGAGTCCATTTCTTGGACGACAACGAATATGCATACGTCGACATGACTGATTCCTCCATCACAAGTTTTATGGCTAGAGTCAGGGTCCCTTACTTTATTTCACCTCAAAAGTTATACTAGTAGTTTGGAATTGAGTTTGAGTCTAGAGACTAGAGTCTGTCTTTTCAAACATCAAATTTGTTTTTATATATTCGCTGTGAGATTGATATGCTCTTGGAGAAACTTTCCTATCATCTCTCATCAGTTAACATAAATTTCCATTGGTTGGTAATACATTGTTACAGACCGCAAAAATGCCATTTGAGGAAGAGCCTTTTACATTTGCTCTCAGGGTCCTTAAAACATATATATGGTGTGTGTAGGTTATCATCCAAAGATATCATAAGCAAAAGCCATACATTCATGTGTAACTTTTGGTGTGTGTAAGTAATTTTCGAACATTTTGTTGTTTTCTGTATATAAGAACATTGACAATGGAATATACAAAGGCAACACATGGGAATGTTCATATGACTTTTACAATCAAAAAAAAAAACCAGAGTGATTTTCCTTTTTTTTTTTTTTTAACTTTGCTCTTATTCTTCTTACACTATTATAAACCGATTCTGAACAGCTCCGGTTTAATATAAACCAAAAGAATATTGTTTGCGGATTCCGGTTTAGCTCGAGAGACCTTCATTTGTTACGTACACAGCCCACGCTTCCTACAATTTCCAAATGTTAAGTCTTAAGAGTTAGTGACTAGATCATAAAAAACGAAGGTTACAAGTTGTGAACCGATATCGGTTTTTACTCGGTTAAGTACCTGAAGAATGGCGAAAACTCTACTCGCGACAGATTTTTGAATCGGTGAAGTTCCTCCTCTTTGTTGTAGCTTATCTGGATGTAAACAAAGCCGAGCTTTTTGATAAGCTTTCTTCACTTGTGATCCATCTCGAAGATTTCCTAAAGGAATCGCATCCCAATTGCTATTTGACCAAAGAACCTGAATTAAACAATACCGGTTTAGTAACCGGTTTATTTGGTTTAAGCCAAAATGAAACCAATTCACATTCTGATTACACTTACATGATGTAAAGTTGAGAGGAGAAGTCTAATGTTTGTCTCTTTTCCGGTTAACCAGATTCTGATCTCTTCATCTTTCATCTCCATCTCCATCTACATTATTCATTTTGTTTCATCAGTTTCTTGAGAAAAGTTCAGTTTCTTTGTTCTCCCGGGAATATGTTAAATGACACTAACCTCTTCTTCTGATTTGGGTTCTTCTTCACTTCTTCTTGAATCAATTACGTCTTCTTCTGTTTGCTTTGCTTCTGGTCTTTGAGATCTCTCTTTTGCCCAAGCTATTGCTTCATCCATGTCGTTTGAATCCGAATTCCCTCCTCCTCCTCCTTCTTCTCTGTAACGTTCGAATCGATCTGAGTTTATCTCGATTACGTAAGAGCTCATCTCTTCTTCTTCGTCTTCTTCATCTTCTACGACTACTACGTCTTCGACTTTACAGTCTCTGGTGGTTCTCTGTTTGGCATGAGTGTTGTCGTCTTCTTCTTCGCAGATGAAGGAAGAAACAGGGGAAGATGCAGGAGAGCTTGGTCCGTAATCATCCATTCTTCTGAAGGAATTTGGATCCAAGCTTATGGTTTCTGGCGAGGCTCTTCTTGATCCGCCGAAATGTGGTTTTTTGTAGTAGAAATCAGCTTTTTCCGGTGTGTTATTTTGGCCGGAAAATGAATCTTTGGCGGTTGGAAACGCCGAGAAACTCTGTTTCTTTGACTCTCGTTTATGACTTCTTGACGGGACGTTTAACGGTCTGAAGAGAAAGAAAAAAAACAGAGCATGTTAAAATTACTGAATTGCCCCCGGGAGTAGAACCGAATTGGAGGGTAAAATGGTAAATTTCACTCACCTGAGTCTAGATGTGAAAGAAGAAAATCCGGAGTCGTCGCCGGAAGCTGCCGCTGGTGGAGGATTGTGAGGACTGACCTCCTCGGAAGAAAGCATCGACGATGAATTCGATCTTGATTTCGCCGTCGAGCTCTGTTTTTTCGATCCCTCTTTCACTGACCCGCCGCGACCACCAAACACGCCGTCGTAAAATCCTTCTCCGCCGGACGGAATTCTGAACGCCGGTAAATTTCTTCCGTGAGATTTAGAAGATGGAAGAGAGCCGCCGGAGAAATTCCCAGGAGGCCGGAAAATCTCGTCGTAGAAACAGTCGGAACGAGAGAAGTCGCCGGAAAATTTTCTGGTGAGGACACTTCGCGGCGGACCGCCAAAAACATCGGCGAAGTCTTCCGTGTCGATTCGAGCATCCATGGATTTACGAGCAATGGAGAAGAATGGATCAACGCTTAAACCCATCTTCATACGCCACGATTCGTCCATTTCCCCGGTGATGTTTTTCTTTTCTTTTCTTTTTTTGGCTCCGATCACCGGAAATTCTGAAGAAAAAAAGACGACGAAGTAAAGAAAGTGGTATGTGTTTTGTGTGAAATGTACACTAACGTACATGTTTTTATAGTAGGCACTGAATTATTTTCTTTTAAAATTAATTCTTCATGTGTGGAATTTATTCGCTTTCAACTTTTTTTTCTCCTGGTCTGAAAAAAAGAAAAAAAAAATGAGTTATAATACTAGTAAAATTAAAATTGTTGAACCAAAAAAAAAGAAGGTTAAATTAAAATTAATAAATGTAAAAATAAGTTTAGTGTAATCCGTGGATTGTTGACAAAAAATAAAAATACGAAAACAATATGCCTTCTATGATTTATCCACAAAATGTATTGTAATATATAAATAATTGGATTTGATTTTTCAACAATAATAATGTTTTTCAATCATAACATTGTATATATAATGTAATCAAATAAATAATACTGTAAATAATGTATTTGGCTCAAGGCTTGTTATACCACTTGGAGACTCCAAGTTGGAGTCCCTACTCTCAAAGACATGATTTAATGGTTTCCGAATTTTTGTTTAGCAGCTGTATCATACATATATTCTCTTTATTTATTCTTACAAAAATGTAATTCATTATTTAAGTTTTCTGTTATTTTTGGGTGATAGTGGTCCTAGTGGAGTGTAAAACCAAAAACAAATCTCATCTCATAAGATTAAAAAAATCTATTTTTTCTTACAATAAATTATTAATTTGAACCCTACCTTCCTAAAATATCTAACTATGATATTTTCAAATCCGATGTCGTTTTGCATTGTCAAAACATTCCAACTTGGATATGATCTTTACTAAAAACTAATATGATGTTTTTATTTGAATCTAAAACATCATATATAGATTTCAAAAATCAAAATTCAACAAATCTTTGTTTTAAAGTGATCTTTAACATGTCTAGCTAATGACCAATATAATTGTCTAAAATTTCTTATAGTGAAAATATTGTTAAATACTTTTTTGTTTTAAACTTATATTGTTAAATACTAGAAGTCTGATTGACTAAAATCACATTTTTACTACTGAAAAGTGACTGATAAGCTGGACAAACGAGCATTATAAAATGTTAACTATTTTTAATTGACATATAATTAGAGTCACTTCTTATAGATATTCCTATTATGTTACGGAAAGGATTATGTAAATCATATATTTATCATGATTCTTTAAAAAAATAAGTGGGTGAAGGAATGACACATACCCTTTGGAGGGGACAATGCATGCTATAATTTGATGTCAATAAACGTTCTTCCCTACCAAAAAGCCATACCCTTGTTACTTTCCAACACATGCTTATCATTATTCCCAATTATATTTAATCAGAAAGATCGTTATAATTTTTTAAAAATCTGATGTCCCCGAATGGACAGATCATTAAGTTATCATATTATATAAGTGGTATCCAGTTTTTATATCATTTTATCTTGTAGGCAACTATTTTGGCATTTTGGGGAAATAACTAGGTTATTCTATATATTAATGATTACAAATTCATAATCATTCCCTAAGATGGGTTACTAACTAGTACTAACTAAGCACGGGTTAAGCTCAATCTACTTCAATTAATCATACACTAATTTATTATTAATACTATCACGTCAGATAATTTTAATGGTTGTGTAAAATATCTTCCTTTTGGGGGCTAGCTAGCAATATTGTAAAATGATTATTTGGTGAGTTTTATTTGAGTGTATATAATTATGCACATCAATTGTATAGTCCTAATCACTCAGAAATAGTTAAAAGAAAAAAGATAGAACCATTTTTGCAAGGAACAAGAACCATTTTTGCAAGGAACAACAAGAACAAAAAAAGGAACAGGCCTTGATATAGTTTAGAACATGTATCAGATTCAGACCATGGTATAGGAACATTACAGGTAAAAAATGCAGATCAGGTGGTCTTCAAAGGGGACAACTTTATATTATTTTGAGTATATTTGATTACTATATAATAAAATCAGATACAAAAGCAATCATTCTTCTGGGATTTGCTCCCTTTAAGATTCGAACTTAGATCATTTAAATAAATTAATAACAAAGTAAATAGATAAACTAAAAAAAACAGCCAAGGAAACTCATTAGGCTTTTAGCTGTTATAAGCATGTGTGTGAGCTGTATAATGCTTCCTTAAGTTTTTTCTGGATGCTATGTTGCAAAGATGTTGCATCATATATATCAAATCCTTTTTTACGATAGGACTTTTTTTAAGGATCACATCTCTTTTAAAAAGGAATGAAAAATCTTTTAGTGGTCCATTCCCATTAGTTTTTTTCTTTCTTAAATGGTGATAAAATTAGAAAATACCGAAGCAAATGCTAAGTACATTATCATACTCTGGTTTACAAAGAAGCATTGTCGATTTTTATTTATCAACATCGTCGTTGATAGTAAGAAGACATAAAATCTCGACTAACTTTGAGACATTTTAGTAGAGCCAAAACGAAAAATTATAGTTTCACCTCACTGAAGCTTCTACGTTGAGCAAATCGCAATGAATCCTCACTCGACTAGTGTTACTGAAACAACTATTTATCATGTGCGGAGAGAAAGGAATGGTTGAATCCGCAATCAGGGCTATCGCACCGCTCCACAACTCACTCGGCAAATCCACAAGCTGATTCGTAGTCGAATCAGTTCTCTACGTTGGCCAACAATGCCGCACCTAGAAGACTGTCTTCGTCAATGGTTTTAATGCATAAAACTTGTTCGACTATGCTATCTTCATGTGAATAATTCGTTATGATGAGTAATAAACGTAACATTTTTTAACGTAAAAAAGAAAGAATTATTATATTTCAAGTAACTAATTGTTTTGATGAACTTGGTAGATATTTCCTCATTTGCCCCACCAAGAAGCAGGTTGGGATGTCAAGAGGAGTAAGGGCAAAACCGAATTTACACAAGAATTTGACCGTACAGAGGCAATGAATGATCTTGGAAGACAAACAAAGTAAAGAGAACATGGGAGATGATACAGCAAGCAAAAGCATAAGTGCCTTTGGATAATACCAAACACAAAATCCTCAAAGACACAGTCCAGTTCAGGTCAAGCACAAAGAATGGATGGCCGTAACCAATGAGCTTTCTCTTGACGACGCGTAATAAGCCTCAAGACAAAGTAATAAGCCGACGAGGAAAGCGATTGTAACCATAAGCTGACAAAATAGACTACAGTTGAGTTTAGCTAATGCCACAGTTACACATATGGGTGAAAATGGTAATGAAGATATTTATGTTGCCAATGTTCATGAGCCACGGATATGGAGCAGAAAAGACTTGGTGTTTGGTTGCAGAGTGATTGCACCAGTGAACCTAAACCATGGAAAACATATAGCATTTGCAGAGAGTGGAAAAAAACAAGGAAACTTTATATAAGGAAACAATGTTTTGAGACAAGAGGGCTAAAAGAACTACATTACCCATCAGTACAATGGCATGGATTCATTGCGGGTGACTTCAACAATGTGAACGACTCATCTCAATAATGTGGCGGTATAGTTCATGGGGATGTAAAGAAGCATTCACCAATGTTGTTTATCAGTTAAACAACAAGAACATTAAACCTGAGTGTTTCGTCTTGCTCGATTAAGGTACCCAAGGCTAAAACTTTTAAACTGCAGGACTCTGTTGTTTAACCATAGAGGTTAGTTCAGTATTTGTATTTAACAATTTTGTCAAAGCAAAGACTTTACAGGGTATAAGATGCCAAAGACCATAATAGAAGATGGTTCAGTCATTGACTCATTGTTAACCAACTGACTACAGAGCAACTGTACATTAATATAAAGAGAGCAAACAGTTCTCACTCTGTCGGCAGCATTCGCAAGTAACCAGTAGAGATCCTCTAAAGCTCCAGTAGCATTTACTGTAAAATATTGATAAAAATATCATAAGTCTAAGGTAGAATCCTGTAGAGAGGTCAAGTCCTTCACTCAAAGACAACACTAGTTATACTCGTTGTCATATAACGGGACATACCATTTAAGCATTACAGACAAAACAACAAATCATATCACCAAAGATCAATTCAACACTTTTTCCAAAGGAAATTTCACAAGAGATTCTTGAAAGTAACACTTTCTTTTAAGCATGATTGTGTATGGAATCATATGGAACAGCGGATGCACAGAGTAAGAAACGAGTTTTGCATTAGGGTTCTCTTAACCTTTACATGGAAAAACAAACAGCAACACGCCGAAATGGAAACTGCTCAGTAAGTTCCACTTAAAAGCAACAGTTTCAAAATGTTTATCGGACAAGCAGAGCAGACAATCGACAACAAAAGCAGTAACTAAGGAAGGTACACTCTTTACTTTCACTTTCCCCGCAACAGTCTCTAACTTTGGCTTACTATCAGAATCAGCCAAGATGCAGGTATTATCATGAAAATGTTGTCTGACAAGTACCTCCAACATCACGAGGTTCACACGAAGAAATCAATGACGAGTTAATTCCGTGTCAGTACAACAAACCAAAATCAACTAAAATACAATAAGAGAGAGAGCTAATGCAACAAGCAAGCTATCAGTTTCACTATACCCAAATACAGAAAATAATGCATATCTTTATTGATATAGGGACATGTAAGATATACCCCATCATCGATAAGTCATCTATTCTATTTCTAACCATAGAATTCTGTCTGTTCCAAAAGAATTCCCTTTTCTTCACATAATTGATATCATAACTTGCATATACCTTCAGAGAAAGTGAGCATCCTAAATGTATAGAAACTCTTGGTGTTACAGTCAAGCCTTCTCAGTTGCATCAACAACTCTTTTCTATTTGCACCTTTTACATTCTAATTATGGCAGCAACCAACAAAACATCATGGTCTATAATGAAATTACTCCCCAGAATAATCAAAGTGACCATAAACAGTGAGTTAACTGAGAATTGTATGAGCTGTGAAGTGTCAAACACCTCTAATCTTGCTATTAAGTAAAATAGAAATTAGGAGAGATGATTTAGGTCAAAACTATTCTTTGTGTTTCTGTTTACTTATCCATGTTATAGTGTTCTAATCGTTATAACATGGAAACGCAAAGCAAAGAAACAATTGTGGCCTTAATTTAAGTAAAACTTAGACAGAGACTTATCAGAACTTGATTGTATGGTGTCACTTTAATATGGTCCCTGCAGAAAGCAAAAAACCATTTCACGTTCTTCCTTTCGGAAAGGTTATTTCTTGGTTTAGTGCAGCCACTAATAATGAAAACCGTAAGTAGAGAAGTACTGAGAATAACGGGTCGCTACCAGGAAAATATGAAATATAATAACTGGTTTTTGCTCAAACCGGTTTCCTCATGCCAAGAGCATCAAAGAAGAAATCCATCACCGCAAACGAAGCGAGAGCGTAGTTGCTTTGTTTGGGATCTGGAGGTTGTGACTAACCAGTGAAAAATACAACAGCATGTTGTTATCATTTCCAGCACCTGGACAGAGTTGTATTCAATCAAAATCTCTTTGCTTGAAACCTCAAACAGTTTACCAAGAAGTTTGGGGTTACAAATTACGAAAGCAAATCCAGACAGGTATTTACGAGACCATCGACTGTTTTAAGGACTGGGGTGAAATATGACCACGCTCAACCAAGCGTAACATTAGCTGATCTGCCTCGTCGACTTTACCTTCCAGAACCAGTCTCTTGCTAAGCTTCTCACACATCTTAACATCAGGTATCAGATTGCGGTTAAACATCCGGCAAGCCACTTTATATGCTGACAGAGGTACACCTTTCTTAAGATAGCCTTCCATAAGCGCATAACATGTCTTAGCATCAGATCTTGAAGCTGTCCTAAGAACTTTTCCCAAAAGTTTATCTGCCTCCTCGAGCTTTCCCAGACCACAAAGCTTTTCAATGACTTGATTATAAATTGTCTTGCATTTCTGCCTCAATATCATCTTCTCTAGTATAGCCACGAGATCATCAACCTTTCCCATTTGGCAGTATCGATGGATGACAGTTCTGTATGTAACAGGGGTAGGATCAATTCCTTTATGAAGCATCTTCTTCATAAGTTCTGTTGCTTCTGCTATTCTACCTTTTTTGCCCAATGCATCAACTAAAGTAGTATAGGTGAAGACATCCGCGTGTTTGTTGATCAGGTACATGTCATCAAGCACGGATAGAGCAGCATCTAGCTCATCGTTCTGACAAAAACCATGAATCACTGTAGTAAAATTCACAACATTAATAGCACAACCCTTGTTCAGACACTCCTCCATGAATTTTCTGGCCTCGTGTGTTCTCCCATCCCGGCAAAGACTCTGGAGCAATAAGTTAATTTCAACTGGGCCTGGGAAAAAACCTTTTAGTACCATCTCTCTCACCACATCACAGGCCTCAGACAATTTCCCTTCCTTACGCAACCCATGCATAAGTACGCTATAAGTGATAGAATTTGGACTCCACCATTGCTCTTCGCTCATGTTCATCATTTCTCTTGCCTCTAACGATTTCCCTGTTCGGCACAACCCATTTAACAGAGCTGTGTATGACACAGTATTTGGTTTATATCCATGAGTGTGCATAATCTGAAGCAGCTTTTTAGCTTTGTCCACCTCACCCAAACGGCAGAAGCCATTGACAACTGCAGTATAAGTTACTACATCAGGAGGGCAGTGCCCCTTTGACAGCATTTCGTTAATGAGATCTTTTGCCTCGGACATTCTTCCCTCGTTGCACAATGCATGAACTATGGCACTATAACCCACCTTATCAATCCGAAAACCTTTTTCTTCAGCATCTTTTAGAAACCAAAGAGCCTCATCCGCATGATCATGTTTTGTGAGCATATGAATTAGAGTATTGTAGGTGACTTGATCTGGCACCAAACCATGCTCTTTCGCCATTTTCTTCATCAAGTCTCTCACTTCCACAACCCGTTTTTCTTTACAGAGATAGCCCATTATGGTATAGTAACTAACTTTATCCGGCAAACATCCTTTACTAGGCATATCCTCTAGTAGTTCAATTGCCTCCTCAACTCGATGTAAGTCACAATAACCTCTAATCATACAATTATAAGTCACTACATTTGGCACTATACCAACAACCTGCATACGTTCTAGAAACCGTAAAGCTTTCTCCAACCTATTCGCTCTCACGAAAACATCAATAGTTGTATTGCAAATCAACAAGTTAGGTTCAACTCCAGCTCTTTGCATAAGAGTCAACACTTTCAATGCATCTCTCAGCTGACCTGCCCTACTATATGATACCATTACACGCGAAAACGCTTCAGGGGTTCGATATATACCTCTACGCTTCATCAGAACGAGAACTCTCCTAGCACCTTGACACAGTTTAGTCTTACTAAGAACCTCAAGCATCGAGTAATACACCATAGGGTCATGGCGATACCGCCATTGACGATCCGCCCAGTAGAAGAACTTAAGAGCAACCCGTTCATCGTCTTGTGAGCGTAAAACAGCGCAGACTTGTGATGGTTTAAGACTCCTAAGAAGATTCCTCATCTGACCTTCATACTTTGGGTTCCAAGATGACCTGAGGCCAATCAATCTACCTATCTCTCTCACCAAAGGATGCCTAGATTCATCCTCTTCGACATCGAATCTACCAACGTCTTCTCTCGATTGTGGGATCTTCCCAACCGATCTTAGAACAACAAAATCATCATCATCATCACATTCGTCCCCACTTGTTACATTTCCTTCTTCATCATCATCATCATCTTCTCCCAATTCATTTATCTCATCAAACCTATTGAACTTAGGGTTTCGAATTTGTCCAAATTCAGCATCACCAACGCTCCTAGCATTTAAAGCTGATGACTTTCCGAAACCCAATTGCCTGAACTCTCCTAAGTGGTCATCTTCCTGACTAGAATCTCCTTGTATCTCCTGACCATGAATAAAGCCAGGATTTTTCGACGAAGATGTCGAGAAAGATGCATCATCCGCTTCGCCGTAAGAAATTGAGCAAGGTGAAAATCGGAATAAGGGTCTGCGAAGAAGCCGATTAACCCTTAGATTCAACATCAATTAAACAACAAACAGTATAGCGAGAGAAGCTTCTTCACTAATTTAAACTGCTCAAGGTAACACAGAGCAACCAAAGCAACGGAACTATGCGAATTTTGAAATGGAAAGTTGAAACATCAAAAAGGGGGTGACGAACCTATCGAAAGAAACTACATGTCAAAATCGAAAAATAAATTAAAAACTTGGGCTTGTCAAAAAAAAAAGCCTAAATCCAGATAACCGTTAAGATTACGCCACGTGGTATACACAAATCTGGCAAAAACCGTTGATGTATTTATTATATCAGATTAATTCTTCTCTCCGTCTTGTAGCCTTTGCGTCGTCGACACCCTTCTGTACCTTGGACTTTAGATTCCTCCTTCGCCGGAATATTCCATATATACGTAAGAGATACTGAAATCGCCGATGATGGACGGTTCGATTCCGACTGAGAACGGCTCCGTTTCCAGTGATCGTGATGGATCGGCTCTTATATTCCTCGGAACGGGATGTTCAAGCGCGGTACCTAACGCAATGTGCTTGATCCAGCAATCTGATAGTCCCTGCTATGTTTGTTCCCAGTCTCTTTCGATTCCTCCTGAGCGAAATCCTAATTACAGGTACATTCTCGTCTTGTACTGGTCTAGTGATTCCAATGCGAGTCCGATATTTTCAGAGATTTTCGAGTGTGGAATTGTTTGTTTTAGGGTTTTTCTTACGTGATTCTATGATGCAGTGGAAAATTTTGAATTGATGTTTTTTTTTTTGCATATGATGAGATTTGGGATCACTTAATTCTGTTTAGCTGTGGTTTAGAATATTCAATTAGTCTATTTTTGTTATTCTACTTTGATTCATGTGTCGAGTTGAATCATATGAAGCTTTTAAGATTTGTGAGTGGAGCTTGATTAGATCCATCTTGTAGACTATTTTTAGCTTGTCTTTTTCATTGCAAGAGATTTTGTGCTTTTGGCAGGGGGAATACTTCACTGCTCATTGATTATTGCCAAAGTGATGGCAAACATAAATACATTCAAATCGATGTTGGCAAGACTTTCAGGGAACAAGTCCTTCGTTGGTTTACTCTTCACAAGATTCCTCAAGTTGATTCTGTAAGTCCTCATGATATCGGGTTTATTGCTCTACATTTTGAGATATCCCGAGATATGTAGAAAGCAAATTTTAAATCTTAGGGTCACTATTCGAGTTTTCCTATCTGTATCTGAAGCTCTCAGTGCATATGAGGATTAAAATTTTTGCATGAATTGCAGATAATTTTGACTCATGAACATGCTGATGCAGTACTTGGCCTGGATGATATACGTTCAGTGCAACCATTTAGTCCTACGAATGATATTGATCCTACTCCAATTTTTGTAAGCCAGTACGCTATGGACAGGTAAAAACATCGTCATGGTCTTTGGAAATTTCAGTTTGACCTTTTAGGCTCTAAAGCTGTAGTTTCGACAATCACATGCTTTTTTTTTCTGAAAATAGCCTTGCTGTGAAGTTCCCGTATTTGGTTCAGAAGAAACTTAAAGAAGGCCAAGAAGTTAGGCGAGTAGCACAGCTGGATTGGAGAATAATTGAAGAAAATTGTGAGAAGCCATTTGTTGCTTCAGGCTTATCATTCACGCCACTTCCAGTAAGTTTCTCAAAGCTTCTGTAGAAATAGTGATCATGCCTCCCTGCTGATCTATGTGGAGACTCAAATCTTATTTATGCCTAGGTGATGCATGGAGAAGACTATGTATGTCTTGGTTTCCTTTTTGGTGAAAAATCAAGAGTGGCGTATATATCCGATGTATCACGGTTTCCTCCAAACACCGAGTATGGTAAGTCTAAGAAATTGCTTAGTGGGTCTGCATTTTGGCATATTCGAAGAAGATGTCTCAAACTTTGTTGCCTTTGGATTTAACAGCTATATCAAAATCTGGTGGTGGACAATTGGATCTCCTTATCGTGGATACGTTATATAAGGTAACACAAATCATCTTCATGCATTAAAATTTGAATGTTTTTGTTAAATGTGAGCTCATGTTTTCACATCCTTTCTCTTTCTTTTCTTTACCGCAACTGCAGACAGGATCCCACAACACCCACTTATGTTTCCCGCAGGTTAGCATAATTTGAAAGTGTGGTTTTTTATTTTATGGTTTATGTATGCTTACTTTTGTTTTCTGTAGACATTAGACACAATCAAAAGACTGAGTCCAAAAAGGGCTCTTCTAATCGGAATGACTCACGAGTTTGATCATCACAAGGACAACGAGTTTCTTGAAGAATGGTCTAAAAGGTAGAAAACTAAGGAAAACTCGTAATTACATCATCTCCCTGAAGAATTTACATAGAAAGTGATTGAGTAATCTTATTTTGTGCAATGTTTTGGTTTGTTAGGGAAGGGATTTCAGTAAAACTCGCTCATGATGGCTTGAGAGTCCCAATAGACCTATGAAGAGGTGAAAATGATTACCTGGCTTTCTCATTAAGGAAACTAAGATCACTGCCTTATTTTTATCGACTTCTGGTTAATTCAATGAAGATGCTTGTAGGTCTTCTTGTGTTCAGATAGAGAGATAGAGAGCGGAGTGAAACGGTTTTGTTCAAGATGCATAATGCTCACATGGCTTCATATCAACATTATCACTAAAGTTTTATTTTTGTGTGTTTTTTTCTTAAGTTGGGGTTTTTGTTTCTTCGTCAAAGTTTAGTTAGGATTTCTGACCAAACGAGGATTTTTTTTGTTACCAGATATACCTGTTAAAATAAAAACAAAGAAAGAAGATAATTCATTTTCTTTCCTTTGATCAGAGAAAACAGTTCATCTAATACTTATTTATGCATGAAATTTAAAATTTTGGTTACTTCTTTGTCAATCAAATTTATAAAGGAAAAATGAAGAAAAGAGTAGCAATTGTTCCACTTCTTAGAAAGTTCAAAATAGATTGTGATTGTGTTTGAAATGTGAATAAAAGTTTCACCAAGTATTTTGTTCTGTATGCACCTTTAATAGGGCTGATCAAGAGTATGACAAAAAAAGTGTTTTACCACTTTCTAAGCATACACAAACAGACGAGAGATTGGTACCAAAATTTTATTTCCCAAACGGACAAAAGTTCTTCTTAAATCCACAGCAATCGCTAAGACCATGCTTCATGAAGGAAACGCATTAGGTTCTCTACTTCTCTTAATATTGTGTAGACTATGACAATACCCACACTTACATGCGGATTTTCCATTATTTTAATAACATTATTTAACGATTACTTATCTAAAAAATAAAAATGAAAAAAAAATATATTTTGAGTATGTTTAAAATATTTTTAAATGGATAAAAAACTAGTGTTGGTTTGGTACTCATATTTGTCAAAAAATAATATTCGTTGTAACTACTCGTATATATATATATATATAGTATACGAAAAGACGAAATAAATTTTTATCTTATTTTATTAATGTTATACTTTAATAAAATCTAAAATAAAATCAAAATTTCATAGATTTTATGTTTATGCATACATTTTAACTTTAATCGTATTAAAGTTAAATCAGTTGATTATATATACGGTTAATAAGTGGAAAAATGTTATTTTTTAAACTTTTTTTATATAAGTACGGAGAGTCGGAGAGTTAATGCATGTGCTAATTTTTAAAATAAATAATAAATGTGGTATGATGTGTCAAATTCTGGAAAGAACCTTTCAACTATTATATACAAGATTTTACCCCCAACTTTAAAAACTATTTTTGATATATTGATAACATACATATTTTTAGTGCTATTTTTATTGGGTTTAAAATTTTATTTCTTAAAAAAATATAGTGTGAATTACACAACTTCTCTTCTCAAATATATTCATTCTTACTATATGTATGAAAATTCATGTTAACTTTAAATAAGAAAATGGAGGGAAGAGTCTATCTATCTATTCAAAATTGTGTTATTTAATACTCATTTCCTAATACCTTTTTTTTTAATGTCAACTCCCTAAAACATTTTAAATATGCCATTAAACATTTTAAATCTACCCAAATATGTGTACCTTATAAAAGTATACAAAACTATCTTTAGATATGTTCAAAATCTTATAAATAATTTATAAATAACTTATAAAACATTATAAGCACTTTATAAAACTTTTAAATATCTTATAAAATCTTAAAATTTATACCGGTTTAGTATGAGGTACTTGAAACTCTTTGAGTAGATTCACTAGCCAAGCAATTTATCTCACAACAAATTGCATTACTCTATATTCAACTTATGCAGATGAATGAGAAATTTTTTGTTGCTTCTTAGACTCCATGATTTCAAAGATTGTCCTAGAAATATACCATATTCGGAAGTACATCCCCTTGTATCCGGACATGATGTTGAGTTTGCATCAGTGAATCCTTGAAGTACAAGGTCTGAATCAGCTGAGTATAACATACCATTGCCAACAATACCCTTTATATAATGCAAAACCTTGTGTGCTCAAGTGAATTGACATCATAAATGTCAGGCCGAGTTATAGTCAAATACATCATCTTACCTACCAATCTCCTATGTAGTGTCAGGCCGAGTTATAGTCAAATATATCATCTTACTTCCAATATCCTATAAGATACATGATCATCCATGACATGTTCATCTCCGTCTTGTATCAGTTTGATACTAGGCTCCATAGGAATATTAGATACATTCTCATTAGAAGCAACTCTATATTTTAATTCTCGGCCATTCCAACGCATTCAAAGTGAGTCTCTCCTCCTTCAAATATTGCTTCAAAAGAGTATCTTCGTAGACGGTAACAATCGTCACCAGAAGAAAGGGAAAAAAACTGGTATCCTCCACCAAGCTATGATTCTGCATATAGAAACAAAAGGAACCTTGAGATAGATTTCGAGATAGAGACGGGTTAAGAAGAGAAATGTTAATGTACCTGCTTCTTCTTAGATGCACCTAACCCCACTATAGTCTCGTCATTACAGCTTTAAGAGACAAGTATAAAAAAAAAACACAAATGCATTCTCAAGGGTTAATAATAGAAAACAAAAACACATAAAACAGTGAGCAATCTAAACTCACCAAACGGTGAGCACTGCATTGTCCTCAAGATAGAATTATGTACTTTGCATAGGATTAATGTATTTGTCGCCCACCTAGAAAACAAAGAGGCCAAAAGAAACAAAATGTGATACCATTCTTAGTAAAATAAGTAACAAAAGAAAGTAGTATATACCCATATATCTATGCCATCAAAAATGGAAGCCAATCCAAACTCCTTGTGCAAATGCCTTGCGAAATCTGACACTCTTGGATGGCTAATCCTATTAGCGGTGACCAATGTCGATTTCAACTTGAAAACATTTTGAAGATGACCTCGAAATAGAACTCTCACTCGTTTGATCTCCATATTCCTATTCAAATGAAAATACGAGTTAGTGTAGTTGATAAACATGTTCACTTACCAATCAATACTAATTAATCCTTCAAATCACAAGAGTCCACAAAAGATACATTAGCAAAGCCAACAACCTAAAGCATTCCGACTAAGTTTCTAAGGCTTACCAGCATATATATAAACAAGGAAACTGACTGAGAAAGATAACATAAACATCTCAAACAAGAAAAAACGATATAGCCTCTACATCTATAATCAAACATGATCAATCGCACGTTCACATGAACATCAATCGATCGCAGCAATGCATAAACATAGCTAACTAATCCAAGAATAGATTGAAAAATTTCGAGACAAGGAGATGATTTGAGAAGAGACATTGAATAGCTTGGGTTCTTAGAGAGAGTGTGGAAGACGAGAATAATCTTGTTGTTTTCGAGCGATTGTTGTGATCTTGCGTCGACGTGAGTGAGTGAGGTCTGTTTCGAGACGTGATTATCTTATCCTTGACCTAGATACGATTGTGACGTGTTTGTTTTTCTTGGATAAAATAGTAAATCATCCGATGCTTAAAATAATCTTGAATAATTCTCTTGTTAAAAGTTAAAACCTTTATTTTTTTATTAAATCAACGATTTGATATTAGGCCAAAAGAAGAGCTTATTCCCACGACTTGGGCTTAGGTACTTCTTTTTAGCTTAAAATGTTTCACCTCTAGTAAAAAAGTTGAATAACCGAAAATATTTCTTTTTTTGCCGGATTTGATAAGTTTTATTTGTTTGTGCCGTAATAATTTCGTAAACTTTAAACTTTGTGTGGAGTTTTAACCTACAGTTTTTTATTTTCCAACCTGATATCGCCTCTGTTCTTACGAGTTTTTGAGATTGAGAGTTTCGGGACAATTGATTTCGATTTCGAGACTACAAAGAATGAAATATGCGCTTGCCAAAGCTTTGTAAGAGATGTCATTTGAAGACGATAAACCGATTATCCTGCAAAATCATTTTGGGTAGTTTCTTTACGGACCCACTAGAGAGATGTTTTATCTCCATTTCTATTTTCTACAATGATAGTCAAACTCATGGTTTTGAACCTTTGCGAGTGATACAAAATTCTCTAAATTAAATTCACAGGTTTGATTAAATTGTAATAGCAATGTGAAATGGACAAAATGTCATAAAGTGTGTGCGAGGAAAATGAAATGTAATAGTGGCTTTTTTGACTTATCTCATACACCGACCACCAAAATCAAATTGACGCACCATTTCAATAAGCCCATTATTGGTATCGACATATCCATTTGCATATATTTGTGTAAATATTTTTTGCATATGAGTAGAAAATCTTTTCGTTATTGACCAAAATAAGAGAGTACAAACTTTTCCTTGTCAATTGAGAAAATTAAATAACTCAGCGACCAGTATGTACATCACAATCATATCAACGTTGATTTCATAGCAAAGGAGAAAAAAGATCTAATCGTTTTTTTTTCTTTGATAAAAAGTAAAATTAAAAGATATAATTGTTTATTTCACTATTTGTAAGAAGAAAAGAATGTTGAAATTCATACATTGACAAACGAGATTCAAAAATTAGTCAAAAATCTTTCTTCAAGACTCCAACCAGTAATATATTTCTCTGAAATTCATACATTGACAAACGAGAAACTCGACAATATGAATTATCAAGTTTATTGGTATAGACTTACTAGAGGCAAGAACCATAAATTGAAAATATGAATGATCAAGTTTAAGAGTATAATCAAAATATGATTATATTAAAAAAAAAGTAAGCAGAATGTTTAAGAGTATATATATCTTATATGCTATAATTTGAAAATAATAATGTAAATCTAATAGTAAGAAAACATTCGCGACCTAAGTTAATTAATATATTATACACATATCTATAACTAAATATAGGCTCATCATCTGCAACAGTCCAAAATAACTGGCTCTAGTTCTTTCTTATAGCAATCCAATTTTTTTTTTTTTTTCTTACAGCAATCCAATTCTTATGTTAAAGTTATATATAGCAACCAAATTAATAAAACTATTGATATGATATATTTTATTTTTTGGTATGCACTATTGATATGATTTGAAAACAGTAATCAACAACAAGAAGTGAGAGATTTAATTAAGTTTGGTTAGTAGGATCGGTTGGAGGATATGATCGTTCCAGTCTTGGAAATTTTAAATTTAGATTTATATACAATATTACATCTGCGAAACATGGTTTACGTTAATACGTTTTATAGATGGAAAGCAAAAACAAACAAACAAAAACACAAACACAATTGACTACAGTGACACTCTATAGTCTATAGATATACTAAATAACATTCACATGATTTTAATCGTGTGATATTAGCTAAGAATATTTAGATACCAAACAGAAAAGAAAAAAAATCTAAAGAGAAAAAAGTTTTTAAATTACTTTATTTATCTATTGATAAATAATCTCGTACGTACGTTTTCTTGTGAAAAAAAAAAACAAAAAAAAAAGAATCTGTCGTAAAACATGACCATTCGAAAAGAAAGTAATCTCACATATTTTCTGTGCAAAAGCATGTCTTCTTAGGAAAATATTTATGAAAAATAAAAGTTTATTTGAGGAAAACAAGGTTAGGCTATACTGCTATAGGTGAGCGTCACAACAACAAAAATCTAATTTGCTAACGTACGTCGTTCTCAAAAAACACCAGATTCCCTTTTTTGGGCTTAGAATACTCCTTTCCAACAAGAGTCTTTGCCTTGGTTGGTTTAGTGAGCTTAGACCGGAAAAACTTCTTTCCCTTTGACCTAACGTTCCTGTTTTCTCTTTGCGCAGCCTCTTTTGCTTTTGCTTTATCGACTTTTCAAGCTTTTTCTGTTTGTTCATCATTGTTCTTACTGCTGTTCGATTTCGATCATGTCTTCGGCCATGGATAAAGCTATGATGGCTATGTCTCTTGAGGAAGACGATCTCCCGTTCGATATGCCAGATCTCCCTGAATTCTCATCTTGCGAAAGAAATGTTTTAAGCTTGGTAGGTCGCACTCTGAACCCAGAATGTCAGACGATGAAGCACCTGATCCGTGACATGCCTCGGAAGTGGCAGAAGATCGGTCGAGTCCGTGGTATTGCTCTTTCTCCAGAGAAGTTCCAATTCATCTTCAACTCCAGTCATGACCTCGAGGAAGTCTTAGAAAAAGGGGTCCATACATACAACGAATGGGCTCTAGCGGTAGAAAGATGGGTTGAGCATCCTCCTGACAGCTTTCTTCAGTTTATTCCCATATGGATCCAGATTTGGAAGCTTCCAATCAATTTCTACACATCTAAAGCCATTTCCTCTCTTGCGGATCTTATTGGTCAAGTTAAAATTGTAGAATTCGAGCCCGACAAGCCGCAGATTCTTCCTTATGTTCGTGTTTTGGTCCTTTTCGATATCTCTAGGCCTCTTCGTCGCGCTAAAGTTGTCAACTTGCCTCATGGAGGTACTACCACGGTTCAGTTTGAGTATGAGAGGATTCAAAAAAGGTGCTATGAATGTCAGCGATTAACCCATGAGAGAGATACTTGCCCTCTGTTTCTGAGGAAAAAAGAAGCACAAGCAGATGCGAAAGGAAAAGGTTCTGCTAGAGTTCCGGTGGTAAAGGTTCCTTTCCTCAAGCCTTCGGATTTGCTCTTTGGGATCCTGGAAGAGCATCAGGTCGGGATTAATCCCTTCACTGGTCGCCAGAGAATTGCTCCTGAAGTTTTAGAAGGTATGAGACAGTATGTCAATGTCTCAAATGCGGATGAGAGGCTGATCAGAATCGAAAGAATTAGAAAATCAGTTAAAGAAGTTGAGAGAGATCCAGTATTGGCCAAGTCTTATCTTCAATTGGAACCTCCTCCGGTGGTTGCTTCTGTTTCGACTAAGTCCAAGGGCATTGTGTTCAGCTATGAAGATCAAGTGGGTTCTCAGTCATCACAGCTCCATCCGTCTATTAGTGCAGGCCCGGTTCCCACCTCCTTCATTTCTGCTGTTGGTGATCTTAACCTTGTTGACCAGCCTGCGTCTCTTCCTTTGTGTGACCCAATGGAATTCCTCTGCTTAGCTCAGCCTTCTCAGAATATTTCTACGGTGTATAGAACTGGTTGCTTTGCAACTAGTTCTTCCGGGAATATTCCGAAGAATACTAAGCAAAGAAAAAGACCAAGCAAAATTACCAGGAAACTCAAGCAGGCTGCCTCTTTGGTTCCCAAGGAAGCTGTCAATATAGAGGAAGGGTTAAATTCTGGTTTCTTGGTCCAGAAGAAGAGAAATAAAGCAGGACATCCAGTGAATGAAGAAGCAGTTCCACCTATCTTAAAGTTGGGTTTTGAGATAGGTCAGCAAGACAAAAGAAAGGCAGTGGAAGAGTTGTCTACCCCATCCAAACTCTCCAAACCCAAACAATCAAAGGTGATCCCAATGGAGGGATCGCCCAATGTTTAATGAGCATCGTGAGCTGGAATTGTCAGGGTTTGGGACGGTCTCAAGACCTGACAATTCACCGTCTCAAGGAATTGCGTAGCAAACTTTTCCCTGAGATGTTGTTCTTGATGGAGACAATGCATGGTCGTGATGTTTTAGTTGATTTGCAGGAGACGCTTGGTTATGACAGAGTTTATACAGTGGAACCTGAAGGTCATAGTGGTGGGTTGGCTTTATTTATTAAGGCTGGTGTTACAGTGGATCTGAGATTTGTAGATAAGAATCTTTTGGATTTTCATGTTCAGTTTGGTGCTGTCTCTTGCTTTGTGTCTTGTATATATGGTGATCCTGTTTTCAAGAAGAGACTTCTCAATTGGGAAAGGTTAAGTAGAATTGGGGTTGGAAGAAGAGACCCTTGGTGTATAGTCGGTGACTTTAATGATATTTTGCACAATGGAGAAAAGATTGGCGGTCCAAGAAGAGGTGATTACATCTTTAAACCTTTCTCAGAGATGATTGCTGCTTGTAATTTGGTTGAACTCCCGAGTCATGGTAATGGCTTCACATGGGCTGGTCGTCGTTATGATCTATGGATACAAAGCAGATTAGACCGAGCTTTTGGAAACAAAGAATGGTTCGCCCTCTTTCCTGTTTCAAATCAGTCTTTCTTGGATCGTAGAGGATCGGATCATAGACCAGTATTGATCAAGCTCACTGCTTCTCAGGATCAATATAGAGGGCAATTCAGATTTGACAAAAGGTTGCTATACAAACCTGATGTGGAGGAGACCATTTTAATGGCTTGGAATTCAATTGATAGTAATAGGATTGATGATGTGGCTCAGAGATTGAGGTTTTGCAGGAAAGCATTAAGCTCTTGGAAGAAGAATAATAATCTGAATTCTAAAGACAAGATCAATCAGCTGGAGAATGCTTTGGAAGTGGAACAATCTTCTTTATTCCCAAGATTCCTTCTGGTCTACAATCTGAAAAAAGACTTGGCTCTTGCTTATAATGAAGAAGAAGATTATTGGAGACAGAAAAGCAGAGACAAATGGATGCATTCTGGGGACAGAAATACAGGCTTCTTCCATGCTTCGGTTAAGAACAGTAGAGCCAAGAAAAGGATTGATTTGCTTATGGATGTTAACGGGAATGAACAAAAGACGGAGGGTGCAAAAGGTGAGGTTGCTTCAGCCTATTTCAATCAGCTCTTCACTTCGACGAATCCTGCTAGCTTCAACCATTGGTTTTTTGACTTTCCTTCTAAGGTTTCTTCGGTGATGAATGATGGTCTTATTCGTGTTGTTTCTAAGGAGGAAGTCAAAGAAGCAATGTTTTCTATTAAACCTTCTAGTGCCCCTGGACCTGATGGTATGTCTGCTCTTTTTTTCCAACATTATTGGCATATTGTTGGAGATCAAGTGGTGAAAGAGGTCCAGCATTTCTTTCTCAATGGAGATTTTCCTGAAGAGTGGAATTACACTCATCTCTGCCTGATTCCTAAGATTCCTCATCCCACAGAAATGAAGAATCTAAGGCCAATTAGTCTTTGCTCAGTTCTATACAAAGTTATCTCCAAGATTCTGGTCACTCGTCTCAAACCTCTGCTCCCTGGTCTGGTCTCCGACTCTCAATCTGCTTTTGTTGCTGATAGATTAATTTCTGATAACATTGTTATCGCTCATGAGGTTGTGCATAGTTTGAAAGCCAAACCAGTGATTGCTGCGGAGTTCATGACAGTCAAGACGGACATGTCTAAGGCCTTTGATAGAGTGGAATGGAGTTATCTCAGGTCTCTTTTGCTTGCCCTTGGGTTTCATGTGATGTGGGTCAATTGGATCATGAAGTGTGTCTCCACTGTGACTTATTCTGTGCTTATTAATGATGTTCCTCATGGTATGATTAAACCACAAAGGGGTTTGAGACAAGGAGATCCTCTCTCTCCTTTTCTCTTTGTGCTATGCTCTGAAGGTTTGTCTCATCTGCTGAATAGAGCTCATTTTGAAGGAAAAATTTCTGGTTTTCAGTTTCATGAGAATGGTCCTTCTATTCATCATTTACTCTTCGCAGATGATAGCCTCTTTATGTGCAAGGCAAATCAGGAACAAGCTCATGAGCTTCTGAGGATTTTAACCTGTTATGGTAATGCTACTGGGCAAGAACTGAATCTCTCCAAATCCTCAATTTCTTTTGGTGCTAAGGTACCGCAGGAGATCAAAGATATCATCAAGGCTGGTTTTGGTATCTTCAATGAGGGAGGAGCGGGAACATATCTGGGTCTTCCAGAGTGTTTTAGCGGGTCTAAAGTGGAGTTGTTGAGTTATATCAAAGAAAGGCTCAAATCCAAGCTGTCAGGTTGGTTTAGTCGGACCCTCTCCATGGGTGGTAAGGAGGTGTTACTGAAATCTGTTGCTATGGCGATGCCGGTTTTCGCGATGTCTTGTTTCCGATTGCCCAAGACTACTTGTGAAAATCTTTCTAGTGCCATGGCTGCCTTTTGGTGGAGTTCACATGAACATGAAAGGAAAATCCACTGGTTAAGTTGGGATAAACTTTGTCTCTCTAAAGATTTGGGTGGGCTTGGGTTTAAAGACATAGCTCTCTTCAACCAGGCCCTTCTTGCCAAGCAAGCCTGGAGATTAATTCAACATCCTAACAGCCTTTTTGCTAAGTTCCTTAAGCACATATATTATCCTCTGGTTGACTTCCTTGATGCGGTCCTAGGTACTCGGCCTTCTTTTGCTTGGAGAAGTATCCTCTTTGGTAGAGAGTTACTAATCCAAGGTCTTCAGAAAAGAGTTGGTAATGGCTGCTCCATTAAGGTGTGGATGGAACCTTGGTTAGAAGATGGAATAATGAGGATTCCCTGGATTAAAAATCCCATTATTGACTTGGAACTGTCTGTTAGTGATCTTATTGACTTTAACAGAAGAGATTGGGATCCTTTGTTGCTTGATCAACATTTCTTTCCGGATGATATTATCAAGATTAAGAAAAGGAAGCCTGTGGTGGATATTGATGATTTTGTTGTATGGAAACACAACAAAAACGGTGACTTTTCTGTAAAATCTGCATATTGGCTTGCTTGTGAGATCAATAGGGCTGAGATTATTTCTAATGCAAGTGTGCAGCCTTCGATTAATTCCTTAAAGGCTCAGGTTTGGAAGCTCACCACTGATCCCAAGATTAAAGTTTTTCTATGGAAAGCTCTAAGTGGTGCTTTAGGGGTTACTGATCAGCTTTTGCATAGAGGAATGAAGTTGGATGGGAGATGTCAGGTGTGTGGCTTAGAAGGAGAAAGTATTAATCATGTTTTATTTGCGTGTGCTGTTGCGAGACAAATCTGGGCAATGTCTGATTATCCTTCTCCTGAAGCAGGGTTTGATAAAGGTGCTATTTTCGCCAACTTTCATCATCTTCTGGTTAACAGAGATAACAAGTCTTGGCCTATCAATATTAGAAAGAGTTTTCCCTGGATTCTATGGAGAATTTGGAATAATAGGAATCTCTTGTTCTTCGAAGGAAAATCTTATGATGCTCGCCAATCTGTGGAGAAGATTCAGGAGGATGTTGAAGAATGGTTTTTGGCTCAGAGGAACGAAACACAGATTGTGTCACCTCCTGTTCTGGTCCTCTCATCTTCCATTGGCTCTGTTCCATCGTCGGTTCTGGTTCATTCTCAGCCTGCGCCAATACCAATCTGGAAACCTCCTCTTCCTTCTTGGCTTAAATGTAATATTGGGGTGTCTTGGTCTAGAAGGAATAACTTGGCAGGGAGTGCATGGGTTCTTCGTGATGATTTGGGGAGAGTAGTGTTACACAGTCGCAGATCCTTTACTAATGTTTCTAACAAGGATCAGGCCGGTTTTTTGAGTGTACTATGGGCTATGGAGAGTCTAATCAGCCACAAGTGTACAAAAGTGGTCTTTGCCCTGCAAGATGTATCTTTGTTGGACATCATACTGAGACCTATCGCTTGGCCATCCTTCAGGTATGAGTCTACAGAGTTACTTCGTTGTTTGGGTCATTTTTTGGAGTGGAGTGTTGTCCTAGAGCTTCCACTAGCTAATAGAGGAGCTTATCTCTTGGCACAAAGTGTCACTTCCGAGTGCAGACTTAATTCTTATGTTGCTTCAAGTCACCCTCCTTGGTTATTTGGCTTGTTTGAATGTGAGAGATTGGCTTCCTCTGTCTAAGCTTTTTGTGATGTATCTCGAATAGGCTATTTTCTGTTGCCTAATTCTTTTGTAATGGCCATGTTCTTATAAGTGGCTTAGAGTAGATTTCGGTTGTTTGACTTCTGACCCTCTTTTCGTCTGTGAAAATGGTTCTCTTTGTAATCCTTTCTTCTTCAATATATTCAACCAGTTGACAAAAAAAAAAAAAAAAAAGGCTATACTGCTATAGGAATCTAGCTGAGCTCGAGCCTCGCAATACGTACACGCTCGTCATTGTTTATACATATAAATACATTCGTATGGTTGAATTTTATAAGCCCCCATGAATACTATATATTGTATTTAAAACATATATAATCTTCACACAAATTAAGAAAAACTAACTTTTATATTTTTAATTATTATTTTGTTAGTTTAATAATATTAGTTTTATTTCTCTCCTTTCTCTATTGGTCACAAACAAAAATAATAATCATACTTTTACAGAACATCAAAGTTAGTGGAACAAGTAAAAAACCCAAAACATCAAATAATTAGGAACAGAGGGAGTATAATCCATGCGATTGTAAATTTATAATCCTAAGATAAAAAATGATAAATAAAGTAAAAAATTATGTGAGAAAGAAGAAGAGAGGTAGTCAACGGTCAAAGTGACAGAGAAACGTAATGCCCTAGAGTGGAGAAAGTGTCAGTTCTCGATTGTTTTCGTTTCAGCAAGTACTGATTTTTTGTTTCATTTTTACATTTCATTCCGAATCTACTACACAACCACTTCTTCGGTTTCTTCTTTAAACAACAAAAAACAAAATCATTTATTTGAGGAATAACAAAAAAATCATAATTCCTAGTTCTTTTTTTTTTTTCATTATCATAATTACTAGTTCAGTAAAACGAATTTCTCCTTACCAATTTCTAGATATTTTGCTAATTTCCATCGGCTCATAAGGTTTTTTTTTTACGGGATTATTTACTCTGAACTAAATAGGCAAATACTGTAACTTGTTTTTTTTTCAAATTATTAAGTTCACTGTGAAAAAAAAAGTAATGATTCAGTGCATTATGACGAGTGGTGAGATCGACAGATGTAATAATAAATCCACTGTTACTAGTCTATTTATAGACTCTTCAGATATCAGTAAATCCACATAAGTATCTTTATAAATTTTTCTTTTTGGCATTTAGTATCTCAAGTTTTTCTCTTTTGTTAAATTCTTTATTATCTCAAAATTTTCAAAATCATTACACTCAAATGAAACTTTGTTATATACTAATTTCATCATCTATCCATTACATTGTGTCTTTATAGATACATTTTTTTTTGTTATTCCAATATTTTCTCCTATTTAATACTATAAACTAAAGTCGTTTTCGAGATTTAATTTGATAGAAACAAAAATTGTATTCATGGATAACAACAACAATAGAACAAAGTACACAAAAGAAAATGTATTATGTAATTAAGAACAAAGACGAAGTTAGGTGACGTGTCGAAATCAGAACGGTGGATATGATGAGAAGCAAGCAAAATGTGGACCGGCGTGCACAGTCCTCCATCTTCACTATTTTTTCTTTCTTTCTCGGTTCTCTTTCTCTAACACAAAAAAAAAAAAAAAACAATACCCAAAAAATATATAAATACAAAAACAAATTCGTCTTTGTGCAATCATTATCTAAAAATTCCCAAAAACCCTATTAGAGAAAAAAAAAAGAAAGAAGCTAGGAGTTA